AAAGGAAAATCACTGCAGTTTATGCAACTTTTTTGTAATACTTAATTTTTTTTTCTTGGTGGCTCAATAGAAAAATTTAATTACCACTCAACTGTAAACCCCAGTACAGTTTTAGTCTAGCTATATCTTCTAATCTCTATTGTCTGACGTGATTTAGGCTATATGCATCCATACCCATCTCTGCCACAACCCTTTCCTCACAATGCTCTCCCTGCTCTTGTTTGTTGGTTTAGTCAGTCACATATTGTCTAAATCTCAAGATTGTGAACAATCTGGGGCAGGCATTGTGTTTTATTTGTACACTCCTAGTACAGTGGAGCCCGAACAGGCTCCATAGGTGCTGTCGTAATAAAAAATAATAAAACAGTACTATGCAACAGTATGTGGTTGACTGGGATTTGCAAAAATAGCATATTCAACCCCTAGAAAAGGACATGCCTTATTTTGCTCAATAGTTTCTTTTTCACACAATTAAGGAACAAGTGTTCAGAAAAGTCTCACCTGTCTGCTTCCAACAGAAAATGGCTGAAAAACAAGAGGTTTCAAGGTGTTCACATATTAAGCCAAGGAAATTGCAGGATGGGAGTACACCATTTCTAACACTGATGCTAAGCATTGCTGGGAAAAACAAGTTACAAAAGCCAAATTCCTATGGTTTAGTTTCGTTGGTTTATTTTATAAGTGTTTAAAATCCCTGGATTGTACACATACACAAGTGATCATGGGTTAATATTGACCACTACAAGTTCCCAATTCCCAAGATTTTTCACTGTGAAAAAAAATATACTCCATAAACTATTTAGTTCCTTTTTAAGAAACATCTTCCCGAGAAAATTTCAAAGGTAGAGCAAGCAATAAGAATCCACTCTAAACACAGCAATGATCACTGGGATAATTACAAAAAGATCCATTAGAAAACCACATTGTCAGAGTCTTACAGATATTGAAATAAGGAGTCAATTTTGCTCATTTAAAGTGACAGAATAATCTTTAAAATCGTATCTATAGTCCTAGAGAAGCTGGTAACAGACCTATAAAAGAATTCGTTCATCATAATTATTCAGCACACAGATTACTTTATGACATCAGGTTTTCCCATCAGGACTTATTTTATGATCATCTCTATATTTAGAAAGTACATATTCTCATGTACTTGGTTTTGAGTAATTAAAAAAACCTATAGTTTTTGGGGTAACGATAAAAGGACCCAAAACACATGTAAGTGGAGAACACAAGAACAGATGAGCTATTCAGCCTTTATATTATCATACTTACAAAGGTATACATATATTTATGCTGTATTTCCATTTTAGGGTAACTGTGACATAGCCATACCATTCAAGTTACACTAGCAATTTACATTCACAGAATCACTTTTGTGAATTACCATCTAATCAAGTAAAGTTTCTTTGGGTAGAATACAGCTTTTGAAACCAGATATCAAATTCACACAAGTTTTAGCAAGGCATAGGGAAATCAAATTGTCTTAATGTGCATACTAACAGGACAGAGTAATAAACCGGAAGTATTTCAGCTACATATGTGGGCAGGAGAGAAGGGAAAAATGCACAAGTGTAAAAAAATTGCAGCATGATGCAATCACATCTTTAACATCTGGGAAGACCACCACATAATTGCAGGGGACTACAGCATCTTAAATTTGTTTTAATAGCATATAAAAATATTGAATAAACAAAGAGCCAAGTCATTGAAACTACCTAGTACCAGGAGGAGTCCCATTATGGCAGTTAAGTATCTTCAGGATTGGTCCTAATGCCACTATGTGTGAGAGTAATTTACTTCTCTATATGCAATGAACAAGAGACTACAGTGCACTGAAGTAACATTTGCACACAAAGAGGGGCATTTCAGGTCCTCAACACAGAGATGCTCTCAGTATATGCATAAGCAAAGTCATTATGCTGAGCACCCAGGTTCACGAAAATTCCATGCAAGACAGTGATTGAGTGGGCTGCTACCAAGCCCTAACTTCACTATCAGTAAATCTGCATATATAATATCACAAATACAAGGTCTTTCCTGCTCAGCCTAAGTGACAGGTAAAGAGTCGATGTATAGACAAGATTACAGTCCTAGTTCAGCAAAGGACTGCACTAGTTATTCTGGTTTAAGAGTTATTATTATCTTCTAAAACTCTTGCAGCAAGTTAAACAGACAATGATAAAGGTATTAGGGCAACTGCTAGTAGCAGGATGGCATTAAGGCTCACTTATTAAATACAGCAATACAACCAACATAAAACAAAAAACCCTTTAAGACTATTTATAAGTGTGCAAACAGATATGTTAGTTATAGCTTGTGAAATAAATATTTCAATCTTCTCTACACTAAATGAATTGTGCGATACTATTATTTTTACCTGTGGGAAAATGTGCCTTTGCACAAATAAAGCAAAATATGCAAGGTTTTAACAGAGCAGTATAAAGCACTTCATAAAAGAGATTAAAGGACGAGTGGAAGACAGTTAGGTCTACTTTATACGTTTCTCTTGACAGGCTGAAGGACAGAACTGAACTTGTTCAGCAAGTGATGACATACCAAACATTAATGATTACAGCATGTCAAAACCACAATAATTCAGGTCTGCAATTTCATGATTCACCATGCTACCTAGCTGAATTTATTTGTCATGTGATACTTTTAAGGCTGTTCATGGACTTGCTAAGGTTTTATTTAGCTTTTCTCTTGTTATTCCAGTGAAAATACTATCATCCTTTGACGAATGCTTTCATTAACTCTTTGGAGATGACTATCAGAATAGAATGGAAAAGACTGCTAAAATAGAATTAAGGATTGTTTCCTTAATATTTTTTATTGATCAAAGATGCAGCACTTTGCAGTAAAGGAAATCCAGATGTTAGACTCTTTCATATACTAAAAACAATATGTTAAAAAGATACAATACCATCTATAGGACATTGTTTTGCATCTCCTTCCACTTCACCAAGATAGCATCTTAATTTCATGTCAAGTTTTCGGGGGGGTGAGGAAGGACGGGGGAAGTGGGAGAGAATAGAGACTCAAAAAAAGAGGTCAACCACCACTGGAGGGCCTTTATTTTAATTCCAAATCCATCCCTCCCAAGTGCCCTTCGGGAACAATCATTCTATGGTTTTATTTTGACAATGATAAAAAAAAAGTGTTTTTCAGAATGTGTTATTCTAGCATGTTCTAAGTAACACTTCTAAAAACCTCTAGTGAAGCTCAGGGCTTCAACTAGACCAGCTAGCATGTGCTAAAATACAACTTGCCTTGACACTACAATAGACTTTTAAAACATATTACCACATTCCAAAAAACAAAGCTGAAAAAATCCACTCATATTTTAGCCTAGTCAAGGCAAACCCTATAAGTGGTCTTCAGCATCAAAACATAATATTGTGATGTTAGGATTTGTGACAGGTAATTATGACAATTCAAAAGATTTTTTCAATTCTTTAAAAAATGTACATTTTGGGTTCCCCCCCAAAAAAATACTACATATTAGTTTCTGGGTTTACATTACAAGCAGTAGAAGATTAATTTATTTTATATTCCCCTCTCTCTCTGCAGAAGTACAGGATCCAGAAAACATGCTAAGAGCCAGATATGATCCATCAAATAAGCCCATTATCCAAGAAAGGTAGCAGCCTCCAAACCCTGTGATACATCATTTAATTCAAGAAATACCATTTAAAATTTTTGCTATTTTGACTTGCTTAAGTACTCCTAGTTAATGGCTTTAATTCCAGCCCTGACAAGATTAGTATCATTAAAAGAACAACATGAATAGGTTAATATTCTCTCTAAGAATCTCACATTTTATTTATCAGAATGCAACCAACAAAAAAGTTAAAGCTATTAGCATTTTAAATAAAATGTGAATGTAATATCACACTAGTTACAAAAATAGTGCACACGTTAATAAAAGATGAAATCTGGGTAAGGTGTAATTACACAGAGCCACATATGTGGTGTATTGTTTGTATCAGATGCAATCATACCGTGGGTGTCTGAGGGCTGGTCTACACCCAGCCACTAGTTCGGCGGCTGGGGATCGAAGTTCCGGGTTCAACTTATCGCGTCTGGTCTGGACGCGATAAGTCGAACCAGGAAGTGCTCGCCGTCGACTGCGGTACTCCAGCTCAGCGAGAGGAGTACCGCGGAGTCGACGGGGAGCCTGCCTGCTGCGTGTGGACCGCCTCTGAACCGCGGTAAGTTCGAACTAAGGTATGTCGAATTCAGCTACGTTATTAACGTAGCTGAATTTGCGTACCTTAGTTCGAATTGGGGGGGTTAGTGTGGACCAGGCCTGAGACTCACCAGGATGCAAGCTTAGTGACTTCAACCATCCTGTAACTGCAAATACATAGAAATAAGGTTAAGTGTATAACTGACTACGCTATCAAGTAGTTTCATGCAGTTAGACACATCAAATTCTCCTGATAAATACCTAGTATGGAAGTTCTGAGAAGAGACAGTTTAGCAATTTTGACATTGGGGATAGTGTATTAAACAAAGTAACGTATCAAAAATACCTAATATCTAAACACCGCCATTAATTCAGAAAGAATGCATGAGTCTCGACATGACTAACACTTGCTGAACCCTGTACAACTGCTCAGTACTTGCACACTCAGAAACAGATTATGAATATTCTAGCAAGGGAAAGTCCTCCCTCCTCTTCTTTGCCAGAGATAACAATGAAAATCAGCAAGCCTGACACACAGATATCTTGTTGACAGAGCAGTTACCAGATAGCAAGTGAATGATTTACTCTGAGATCAGATTAGATAGTTTACCAGTCTCCACAGCCCAAGACAGCACCGGCCAAGTTTATTTTGTTAGTAGCTGTGTTGATTTTGTGTGTGCTACCCAACATAATCTTACTCAATCATCAAGCATACCATCCAAAACCCATAAAAAGATCTAGGATACTTTCAAGGCACAGCCTCTCCATTCACAATAAAGGAAAAGAGGTGGTCGTCAACGATATTTACCTCCGTTGATAGGCACTGGTGCCAGCAGCAGGCCTTTGACCTCCACTTTGGGGGAATCCCGCCCGTAGCGCCCACGATCGAGCCTTAGTAACGCAGGGCTGACTCGGTCGGGGTTCAAGACAGTCACATTGATGAGGGCTGTGTAATATGCCTGACTGGTATTATCCGCGCTAGCCAGCAAGACACAACAGTTAACCAGGACCAAGACTGGCAAGGAAGAGAGACGGTTCCAATACTGTGAAGTCCACTTCGCGAGCATCATCTTCATCCGAAGTGGAACGAGCACAGGTGTAGATGGGAAGGGTCTTCACAGGCCGAGGCGCCTCCTACAGCACAGCGCGGGGGGTTGTTCCCCCACACGCAGAAAGGGGCCGCGGACTCGCAGCAAGGAAGCCCCCGGGCGCCCAGGCAGTCAGTCCATCCACCGGCCAGTGGCACTGCAGGTGGCCCCAATGAGCTACCGATGAAGGGCCCCCCCCGGACTCGGACTCACAGGCGCGGGCGGCTCCTGCGCATCCCGCCACAGCCCGGCCTCGGGTGTCAGCGCAGGGCTGGCGCGGCTCGAAGCAGCCCCCCAGCCCGGGGCGGAGAGTCCCGCTCCGTGCCCGCGCGGCTACGGAGAGCGTGCGGCCGCCAGAGCCCCCAGCCGCCTGCCGGGCCGGGGGGATGCGGCGGCTCGCGGCCCCCCGCGGCGTGTCACCGGGCTGGGCGCGCAGCGGGCACCGGCCAGCGCCAGGGGCCCCCGCCGGGGCTGCAGGTCGCCTCCCCGCGCGCTTCGGGCTCTGTCGGGAGCTCGCCGCCCCTCCCCCCTGGCTTCAGGCTCCCCCTCAGACGCGCAGCCTCCCGCGCGGGCAGGGATCCGTTCGGTGCCGCGGGGGCTGCGCCTCCTGCCCGAGTCCCGACCGCTCCCGCTGACGGCTACCGCGCCATGTCCGGCTCCGGGCCCGTCCCCGCAGCTCCTTCCCCGGGCCGGGGCTCCAGGAGACGCCGACCCGACCCGTTCCTCAGGCAAAGCCCGAGCCCGCGCTCAGCGCACCGAGCCCGACAGCCGCCAGCTCCTACTTCCCCGCCTGCTGCGCAGGCGCCCTAGGCCCCACCCCCGCCCATCGCCATGAGGGGGAGGCGGGGCTCTGGAGAGTCACGCCCACTTGGGGGGGCGTGGTTAACACGGGGAGAGGGCGGTTCTGCAGGGAGTCACACCCGCCCGGGGGCGAGGTTACCTAGAAAGGGGATGGCTATTACACTGAGGGGAGGTGCCTGGAGGGGTGGGGCGGGGCTAGTCAGGGAAAGGGGTGGAGCTAGAAGCAGTCTGCTGCACCCCATGCTCAAGGGAGAGGGAGTGGAGGAGCTGGGGAGTTTCCTACTAGGATCCTAGCTACTTCCTTTGAGGGGTTGTATTGGCTCCCTCCCAGCTGGGAAGTGCTGGGAGCTGCACCTTCTGATGGGGATGGAAGGGCTGAACGCACCGATTTGGCTGCCCCAGGGGAGCAGGGGTGACAAAGCTGAGCAAGGCCTAAGGGAGGGAGGTGTAATGGGTCTCTTTGTCAATGGGCCTGGGAGAGAGTAGGTTTGGGGAGAGAACTGCTCTTCACCCCTAGAGATAGGTCTCTTCTGGTTGGGACCACATGGGGATGGTCTCTGGACAACAGGATCAGATTCTGCTCTCAGTTACTTCAGTGACTCACCAGAGTCAGTCAGGATTCATGGTGTCATATGTATGAGCAGGATATGGCCCCTCTGTCTCCAAGACTGCCATTACCTCTGCCTTAAATGTACTGAAAGGAAAATCAGAAGGACATAACAATGCCCTCAGGTTGGACTCTCAAGACTTTGATCTGAAGCGGCATCTGATCTTTGACAGGCTCAATTTTCTTAACAAAAGAATTTGCAAAACACAACTACTGCCATTCTTCCTCAGAAGCCCTGTCAGTGCCTCTAGGTCCTAAACTAGAATTCAATAGACTATTAAGAGCCCTAAATACAATGGTTGGGACATTTTAAATACTTTACAGTTATTATATTGAAGAAATACTTGGCTCACTAACTCCGTTTTCTGATTCAGAGATTTAGACAAGGACAAACACTGTGCCTAGAGGGTCTCCATTATTCTTTTAGCTTTTTAACCTCTAAGATCCAGAGTTCTGCTGAGTACCATGCAGATCAGTGAGCATGATTAAAAGCACATGTCTATAATGGAAAAATGTGTGTTGTATGCATGGGAGGAAGGAGGGGTTATGTGGGAAAGTAAAAAATAATTTAGCCAATTGAAACTAGAGAGAGAATTTAAGTAGGTGTGGACTACGGTGTAACAACCTGATTTGGAATTTGGCCAGGACATTTGGCCATTGCTGCATGAGTTGGCTTTTGTTTTCTGAAGTAAAATGAAAAAATGTTAATCCTATGAATACTGTAATATCATGGTTTGAATAATTAGATTTCTTCAGTTAAATAACATCATAGAAGTTCCAAGGATCTGGGTCTGTGCATGGCCACAAGAATAATCAAAAATAAAACACCAAAAAAACCCTTCCAGGCCTCACATAGGCAAAGTATCTGAAACTTATTTAGGGGAAGGAAAACTAGTAATCCAGTATTTCAGTCTTCACAGGGCCTTTGTTGAGAATACTTTCTGAATTCCTGAGCAAATAATTGTGCTGATGTTCTTTTGAGATATTCAGTCCCTGATGGCTTTACCAACAGCTGTGGAAGGCCTCAAGATAAGGGTAGTGATTAACCTTAAATATTGTGGTTAAACTGCTCCACTCTATAACAGTTGCAGCTTATCCTGTTGTGATGCACCTGGTCACAGATGCATGTGAGCTAGCAAGAAGAAAGAACTTTCTGTATTTTCTTTTACCTGTAACCAGGCGGTTAAATTCTGTCCTTGGAAATGTCCGTGTAATTTCCAACGAAGGTAGTGGGAATCAGATGTGTGCCTCTGAGAGCACAAACTGGCCCACGAGGCCCACTAAAGGCATGTAACTTGTGGAGCTGTAAAATCCTCTGAGATGCTGCTTATGAAAAGCTCTATAGAAATGTCAATACAATGCAGGAAATGTCTTTGAAGCAGCAGTGGAATGTTCTGCTTTCGCATCATATTTTCCCCCCCTCCTGCTTGGGAAATGCTGGGTGAAGAACCACAGTGATTTCACTAATGGCCTCTAAGCATTTTACAAAACCTTTCATCCTGTATACAAGGGGGAGGGACCACAAGGCAACGGTAATGACAAATGCTCATATTTCAATGCCTTCAGAGGTAATGTTCCAGAATCCTGTCTCATCACACTTGGAATACAGATGGCAGTTTAATTTTATGGGCCAGCAGCTCTGTGGTGTTTAAAGCAAACTCAGAGCTAGCACTTTTACTGTTGAAATACCGCTTTTCCCAGAGCAGTCCTCGTAAACAGCTGGATTCATCTTGACACTGGTGCAGGCACCAGCCCCAGGATGGAGGAGAGGCAGTTTACTCCTCCCCCGTTCAGTGGCAGCAGGGGCTGGGGTGGCCCACAGTGCAAGTTAGGGCAGCTTGCCAGGCTGTGCTAATTTGCGTCCCTGCTTCAATGGCCCCATATGGCTTTGTAGGGGCACAGAATTCCTGGGGTGTAAAAATGCCCCACCACACACTCCTGCCCCCAGACTGCTTCCTCCAGTCCATCCTTGCCCCAGAATGCCCCCTAGCCCAAGGCCTGTTGTGAAGGCAGCCTGGTGCTGGTGGAATTGGCTGTGCTGGAGGCATTTCTAGGTGGTCTCTGACACCTGCTCTGTAGCACCTTTGTGCCAACCAGAAGGAGCTGCAAGACAAGGATGAATAGGGGTAAAGCATGTAATAGCAGCGTTTTGCATTTCTAAAGAGAGCATGATCTGGAGGTGTGCGCGCAGTGATGGACCTCAGGAGATGCTGATTTCTCACCCTGGGTCTTGATGTGTGATACTGGGACATTCACTTCCCTTCTGTATTTCAGTTTCCTCAGCTGTAAAGTGGGGATAATAATAGCAACCCCACAGGGACATTGTGAGGATTATTTGGTTAATGTATGATCCAGCCCTTTGAGGGTATAAGTATTAGTTGTTATTACTATGCTTCCATTCTTCCAAAGATCTCAAAGCACTTCATAAGCATCAATTATTCCTCACAACTCTCCTGGGGATGAAATAAGAATTCTCTCTATTTTACAGCTAGGTAAACCAAGTCACTGGGACATAAGCTGACCAGGGTCACATAGCAAATATCAGAGCTGGGAATAGAACATGGGCGTCCTAAGTCCCAGTTCCCTGCTCTAACCACACTAGGCTATACTGCCTCTAAATTTCACTTGAGAATTTCTGCCTTTTCCCTCTGCCCCTTTTCTATGTGTTACTTTTTTTCCCATTTAGTACTTCCCAATTCATGAATCTCCTTGTGGGTGCTACATTCCATCATCTCTTCCATGTCTGCTGCATAGTGTGGGCCTCATTCTTGAGCACTTTCACCTTGCATCTTATATCGTCAGTAGCCCCTGTGAAAAGTAGGTGTACAATACCACCAAATCAGAATGGTAGATCACTTTGCACAGGTGTAAATGACTGCACAAGGGACCACCTTTTCTCATGTGTTTCAACCCTTTGACACCAGTCCAGCAGACCTGGCCACTGGAGAATTTCCCTAGGTAGGGCAAATCTCTAGGTAGCATACAGCTGGCATAATGCCTCTCTGCCACACCCCCTCACAGCATTGAGGGCCTGGTTAAGAAAAATGGGGCATGACCTTATGGCTCTAGGTAGTCAAATGTAAAGTAGAGCAGTCTGAAGGCTCTAATTACAAAGGGGACTGAGCAGGCCCCTGGCCAACCTGAGAAAAGGGGAAAGGTAGTTTAAAGCCATATTTGTTCTCTTACACCCTGTTTTTGTGCCAAGGATAGCACAGCTGCAACGAAGCATTAAACCCAAGAGGCAAGGCAATTGTGAACTGTACCCTTCTATGCCTGGAGAGTCAGCACTGGTGTGTGTTCTTTCCCTCTCACTCCCCACAAGATGCAGAGAGTTTTGCAGAACTGGGCTGTTACAACATCATCTTTATCTGCTGTCCAGCATCTGAGGGTTTGTCTACGCTGCAGTAAAAGACCTGCAGCATGGCCATGGCTGGTCTGGGTCAGTTGACTCAGGCTCATGGGGCTTGGTTTGTGGGACTACAAACTGCAGTGTAGACATTCTGGCTCAGGCTGAAAGGGGTGGGGTCTCAGAGCCTGGGCTCCAGCCTGATTTCGAACGTCTACATTGCAAGCCAGAGTCAGACTGTCAGACTTCATGCCGCAGGGTTTTTTGTTTGTTTGTTTGTTTTTTTGCAGTGTAGACGTACCCTGAGGGCCTGTTTTTTTCCAGAGATTTGACTACACTGCCTCTAAATTTCTCCTGAGGTCCCTTCCAACCCTGATATTCTATGATTCTATGATTTTGCAAGCTCACCCTATTGTGGTTAAACAGAGGAGGCTGCCGGGGTTTGGCTGGCATTAAAGTTCGTATATTTTCAGGAAACGTTCATACTTTTTCTTAACTGCACAAATTTCCTCAGTGAAAGAGCTGCTGAAAATTTCCGTAAAAGCACATCCTTCCTCTACCCCAGCGCAAGAGGCCTAAATTTCATCCCGGTCTTTACTTTTTATGGTACAAATGTTCTTTGTCAAAAGTTTCCTCCACCTCCTCCCCTTTCTCTCTCTGTCCCCTGTGCATCCCTCCACAAAACCGGCTTCCAACCTGCAGAGCTGTGCCTCACCTGCCCCTGAGCCATTTCCCATCCTGTAGAAGAAACTGTTAGAGCTACAGCACCACCTAGGGGAGTATTGGAGAAGAAAAAAAATTCTCACCTACTTCTGAGGGCAGCTAAGTGGAGCTCAGACAACAGGCAGCAGCGCGCAGCGGAAAGGGGTGACAGTGGGTGGGATTCACAGGGAGCAAAATGGATCTGGAGGGGTCTTGAGACTCTTGATCATGAGGTCAGGAGAGGTCGTCTACAGTAGGGTGTTTCTGACAGGGTGGTTTGGGGCTCGCTTTGACTTTTGCCAGCCAATCTCAGAGCATCACCGTATTTGGAGGAGGCCATTCGTACA